TGTTGAAATAACTACTGTCCCTGTTACTACGAGTACCATGCTGCCAACGACTTCTATGGAGGCCACAACAGAAGAAATGACAGAAACAACAACTCCAATTGCTCCTATTGAACACAGAATACTACCTGAAGTAACATCATCCGTAATTAAATATGTTACTGAGACCGAGACATATCTTGAAGAAGAATGTGAAGAAGAAGAGAAGGAAGAAACTAAAAAACTGGTTTGGTACGAGTATGAAGAGAGTACAAAATTAGTGACTACAACAACTATCCCCCTGCTTTGGTATAAAATCCCAACTATATCAATTGCAACTACAGGAACTCCACTTATAACAACAAGTACGACAGAAATAACTACAGTGACTACTGAATCCACCACAGTAGTGAAAGTCACAGCTATAAAATTACCTACCACCGAGAGTACAGTAGTTACTACGGAAACTATATCACCTGTTACTGAAAGTACTATTATAGTAACTACATCAAACATCACTGAAAGCACTATTGCGGTTGAAGTTGAAATCACCTCGTCTATTATCGAAATAATAAATGTTACTACAGAAACACCATTCACTATTATTGAAACACCAGTTACAACCGTAACAATGCCAACTATAACAACAGAAACAACTGAAACGACGATCTCAATTGAAGTTCAATTCACCTCGCCTGTTGTTGAAGTAACAAATATTACTACGAAGACGCCATTAACTACTAGTGCAATATCAGAAGTAACAACTGTAACAATCCCAACTGTAACAACAGAAACAACTGAAACGACGACTATTGTTGTAGTTACTTCGCCTATTATCGAAGTAATAAATATTACTACAGAAACACCATTTTTCACTATTGAAATATCAAAAATTACAACGCCAATGGTTCCAACGATTACAACTGAGCTGATGAAAGAAATTACAACTACTATCGTGTATGAATATGTTGAGGAAACAACAGCTAATATGACTACAACTGAGAAAACTACTGAACCAACATCTGTTACAACCGAATCATCGATACTGCTAGAAACAACAGAGATAACAACACCGATAGTAGTTCATTACGAAGTTAATGTTACAACTCCTTATGTAACTGGAACAACCGAAACTGTAACGACCGAATTTACCGTAGAAATAACCGAAACGCCCGTCGTTACAACTGAACGAATTATTACAACCGAAGAAGAAATGTATGAAACGGTAACAATGCACGAGAAAGACTATGACGAAGAAGAGGAGGAGGAGAAGGAGGAGAAAAAAGAGACAGTCAGTCCAATTTGGTACGAGCACACAGAAGAAAACGTAACATCCACGACGCCAGAAATGGAAACGCCCACGAAAGAAATTATTCGAATAGAAATTACAATCGTCAAGGAAGAACTGAACATTACAACTCCCTTCGTAACTGTACCTGAAATTATATCTACTATTGCCATCCCATTTATCACTGAGGAAATAATAACAACACTGGAGAGGCCAACTACGTTCGGAACTACTTTGATGTACACGCTGCCTCCAACTTTGGAGTTCACTATGGAACACTTGCCACTCGATTATTTGGGAGAAAATGTGACGAAATCGGAGGAAGTGACGAAACCTACTACTGCTACCGTGGAAACTCCGGAGATATCGGACATTACCAGAGAAAAGGTCACCGAGCTACCTGTCTCTTTCGATGTGACACGTACCACGAATCAAGAAGAAAAGAAACAACGTCAAGAGGAGAAGAAAGAAGAGCTAATAGAGGAGCTGAAGAAATTAGAGAAAACAGAGGAAGAGATTCTGATTAGAGAGAAAGAGCTGGAAAGGAGAGAGGAAGACTGGCAGATAGAAAAGGGCAAATTGATACGCTCGCTCTATGTGAAGCAGCAAGAAATGAAAGTTGCTCAACAACAGACTACGTTTGCCTCAGAACCTGACACTGTCACTGAAGAATCACCAGCTCTATCCAAGACAACGCTTTCGACCGAAGCTACGACTTCTCGAATTGGTCCAATGAAACCAAAAACGACGGTAACTCCTGAAATGACGACGAAAGACGAGCTCGAAGAAGAAGTTAAACTGCTGGAGAAGAAGTACCTCGAAAAAGAGAAATGGTTGAAAGAACAGGAGAAACAATTAGAAGAAAGGGAGAAGAAATTCCAGAAGGAGAAAGACGAGTTTGAGACGATGATAAAGGAATTGGAAGAGAAGTTGGAGAGTGGAGAAGAAATTACATTGCCCACTTATGGCCGATCGACGCTTACGACGCCATGTTTCTCGCAGTTGCCACCTACGGAGAGAACGACGATCGAGATTCGAGAATCAACGGCGATGGAACCTAAGACGGAGACTAGTGTGAGGAAACTCGTTACATTGTCTCACGAGGAGGAGAAAGAGCAGAAAGAGGAAAGAGAAGAAGAGAGGAAAAGAAAAGGTACAACGAGGATTTGTGTGAATGTTTTAAAGGCGAAACCTTTGGGAAAACAGGCTGAAGACTTGGTAACGAAAAGGGTTTGTTTACCATTCGTTCCAGGACAAGTGGATGCCAAAGAGCAGATAACAAAGATCAGTGGACTATATCTGAGGCAACACGAATGGACTGAAGGACCTAGATTTACGAAGGACCGTGGAGAATCGCAAACGGAATTCGAAGACGAGAGAAGTGAAAGGAAACGATCGTTGACAGAGCAGAATCGATTTAAACGAAATATTCCTGCGAAACAGCATGTTCATCCCCAGTTGCGAATTGATCGAATTACTAGTAGAAATGATTCTATTTTCATGATCACTGGAACGTCGACGACTACCGAGAAGAGTAGCAATTGGGAAGATAACAGCAACAGATATAAGGCTCGGTCTATGTTGCAAATCATCGAAAATAAAAATGAATACGAAGACGAAGACGAAGCTAAAAAGAACGTGAAGGGATATGAAAAAAGTTGTGAGAGTCGTGATTACGAGGATCAAATCGAAAGGAATCCAAGACAAGGGGAAGACATCTCGCTGTGGACAACGAAGAGTGCAAATGATGAAGTCGGGGAGGAAGATATAGAGTCGGAAACCCAATCAGACAGAGATGATTCGGTGGATGATACAGTTAATGATAAAGAAACAGAAAGTATTCCGGAGGAGAGAAGTTACAGCGAAGATGACGATTTAGAGAAAGAAATGAAAAGTGAAAAAACTGAGGAAATACCGAGTGAAGAGATGCACAAAGATAACGAAGGTAATATTTTATTCAAACTTGAAAACACGCGTGTATTTGCATAAATGCTACCTACCACTACATAGGCATAATATCTCTGTACTTTTTAATACTGTAAAATTTTACTATATTTAATTTAACTTTCATAAGTTAATATTATAATTAAACGAAATCTTGTCAAATGCCCCCTTGGAATTACATGGATCATCAATGATAGCAATATTGATACAAACTCGCGCAGATTCGCTTTATTTAACTAATCCACTTTGATTTTCAGTTACGAAAGAGAAAAAAACGAGACAAACACCTGGCCCTGAATGGCCGACTGAAGCTTTAACCGCTTATCAAATTGGTGGCACTAGAACATGGATGCTCGAGTATCCAGAAGTTGCAGAATCAGTGGAAGACGAGCAGGATTTGAAAAGCGTTGGGAAACGGCCGCTCGAGGCAACGACTTGCTATTATGTTATTCTTAGGGACGAGCAGGAGAACAGCCTCGAAAGTCCCGAAGGAAATTATAACCAAGGAAATAGTTTTGGATCATCCTGAAGGAGCATATATTGCAAACTCGAATAAGCAATATCCCAGATATACAGATAAAATCTAACGCAGCAAAAATAAAAAAATATTATAAAAAAATATTATTTTAAAAAAAACACGTGAATGATCATCATTTTTCTTTTATAATAACTACAATATTATATATTTTCAATGGGATACGCACGGCAACTCGCGATAGTATTCGAACGTTTATCGCGAAGAAAGATTTTGCGAATATATTACATGTATTCAAATTTCATTGATATTAACAATTATCGCGATCGATATTTGTGATTCGTATTGCAAGGATAAACGTGATAAAATATTAGTATGAGTGATGCACATGGAACTAGAAATTAAATATTTAAGCTTATTGATATAATGGATAATCTAGAGGTATTTGCAATAATTTTTCCATCAATGAGAACGTATATGTTATTTCCTATTTTGCACAACACGCATAATATACTTAGGGAATCTTCCTGTAAATGTTCAAATGCTCTTCCACGAATCGCTGTACATAATATTTATCAGATGCATTGAAATAAAAGAATAAAGAGAAACGTGAAATCAATGAAATCGCAGAAGCAGTGAAATGTAGCGTGTAATGTTAAAGGGCTGTAAAGTTTGTATATATGTAAAATACATGTAAAAGAGCACATTAATAAATTCAATTGGAAAATTCATTTTAAGGCTTCCATTTTGTCAGGTTGGCATACTGTCATCTCTGTTGAACCACTACTAAATACTTAATCGAACTGATTAGAATTTATCTGTTTGTCAAAGGAAATTTCTGTTTCCTTCTTTTACGGAATCGGAAATAACATTACATAAATATGATATTATTTAAATCGACTGGTGAACGAATCGAAGAGAATCGTTGAATCAGCTTTTAAATTTTTTACGTGAAACTGGTTTTTCTTTCATGTATTTGCGGAAGATTTGAAATTGCCTGTGTGAAAAAGTGATCACTGTTTTGCAATTTTTTTTAGAAGCGATTTGCCGCTTATCTCGTGTTATGTAACGTAGATAAATAGATGAATAATTGGCCGTGATGAATAATCTCGCCTCTGGAAAT